GGGGGGGGGGGGGGGGAGGGTTGGTCCTAACCCAAGCGCTGATCAGATCTAATTCAACGATCAATATCACTTAGCCCAATATGGGGCCTAGCGCATCTGCCACCTCATAATCAATACCACTCAGTCCAATATAAGGCCTAGCATACGTGTCACCTCAGTACCAGTATCAATTTAACTTTATCACCCAAGATCAGTCATCAGCCACTCAAGTCTCAAATGCTCATGTTTCATAGTCTCAGTTCAAACCGTGTCATACATATAAGGGCATCAACAACATGTGAGATAACATATAAAGGATGCATATAGACAAAAATATATTATGTGGATGTAAACATCATGACTGAGAATATGACTACAATTAAGGCAAAAACATCTCAATATAGCAAGAATAGCCATATCATTTCTCAAACAGATAAGCATATAGCCTAGAAATTATTTCTAACATGAATACCTCACGTAGTTAGGGAAGTGAAGAAAACACATAAATAACGGGGCATGATAGCAAAATAAGGCACATAATAGCCTAAGGTCTACCTAAATCACAAATAATCTCGGTGTACGCATATGTGCTCGTCAGCTAGCACGTGCGTCACCCCCAACATGTATCAGATACTATAACCAACGGGAAATTACCCTCAAACCAATTTTAGACAAGTTACTTACCTCAAAGCGTGTGAATCAATACTCTAAATAGTCCTTGCCTCTCGAATCGACCTCCGAAAGGGTCAAACCTAGCCAAAAATAACAGAATAACGTTAAACAATGCTATAGAAATCGATTCCAAATAATAAATCTCCAACATTTATCAAATTATGCTAATTCAACTAAAAATGTAACCCGGGCTCGCTTCTCAGAACCCGACAAAAGTCACAAATCCCGGTTATTCATTCTAATACGAGTCCAAATATACAAGTTTCATCCAAATCCGACTTCAAATTGGATCCTAAAATCCCAATTTTTACTCTCGAAAACCATAGGCAAAACCCCCAATTTTCTCTTTTAAATCAAATAGAATAATCCACGAGGTTACAAGATATAATATCAATATTAAATAGAAATTACTTACTTTCTTGCCTTCTGTGAAAATTTCATTCAAAATCTCTCCAAGTCTAGGACTCAAAATATGAAATAATGGGTATAAGTCCCGAAAATACAACACTTAAATGTCTGCCCAGCAATACCATTTGCGAACGCAACCACTGCCTCGCGCTCGCAAAGCACAATCCAGCCACTGCCCAAAAGACTCTTCCCGAACGCGGTCCATATCCCGCAAACGCAATGCACTAGCGTCTTAAGCATATGCGAACTCAGTCCCCTCCTCGCGATCACGAAGGCCAAACTTCCTACCAACTCCAGCGACCCCTTTCTCTACGCGAACGCGAGCCCAAAAGTGCGAACGCAAAAGCCACTGACCACACACCTTCGTGAACGCAACAAGCCGTCCGTGAAGCGAAGAACAAAACCCCCTAACCTGAAATAAACCTCTACGATCGCATGACCTACTCCGCATTCGCGAAGCACACCAAACACAGTAGTTATCAGCAATCTCAACCAAGCTTTGATGGTCTGAAACTCACACGAGCCACCCAAGACCATGTCTTATTGCACCAACAAATCCATAAACACTACCCGGACCTATCCAAAGCCTCTAAACATATACAAGATCATCACAATCTACGAATCAACGATCAAAGCACCAATTGAACTTCTCTTAAGTTCATAAGATTATAAGACTCCAACTAAGCATTCGATTCCTATCAAACCAACTAGGAATGCAAACAAACTTTGTGCACGAGTCCTCTATGACATAACGAACCTATCCCAGGTCCCGGGATAATAATCCAAACTCGATAATATCAAAGTCAACTCCCGGTCAAACCTATGAACCTTCCAAA